TGATCTGCAAATCTTTCCCAGTCTGGGAAATATAAAATACTGCATGTCAAGACTAAATATCATGCTTAGTTGTCTCCTGAGATGATGCAGGCTCTGGAGAATGTGATTGTGTTAATACCTCATTTCTAATTAATTTTCAATTAGAATTAAATGTTTCCATGGAGAGAAGTAAAGGCAAGAGTTGTCCCAAACCAGCAAGCAATGAATTCCTCTACTACTGAAGTGACCTGGATGTGATGGTCACTTCTAAATCCTTGTTCCATGATTTATGATTTGATTATTCATATTTACATATTGCAATAGAAGAGAATATCTGTAGCTCAGGGTTGAACGGTGGAGTCCTTGGTGGTCTCTGAGTTGGTTGTTTGCTTGCAGAAGTTTCATTACCCAACTAGGTAACTTCATCAGTGTAAGTGAGTGTGGGATTTTCTCCCATTCAAAACACTATTTTCTTTTTCCATTATGGCGCCAAGGCGGATACCTGTTTGATAGGCTCACTTTGCTGGGAATTTTGAGGATGAGGTGAAGGGTGGGTGGAGGTGTTTGATGATCCTTGTCAGTTTGGTGGGAAGCCAGCCATGTTAGTACCAGTTCTCTGGGCCAGCAGGAGGAGTGGGAAGAGCACCAACAGCAAAGGCAGGCAGTGCAGTGGAGGGGACCAATCCTTGAAGGGGCCGATGGAGCCCTGTTGACCCCTTCCTGTGCAGCAGCCAAGCAGGACTGCTTTCAGTGGTGGCCCCTCCATTGCAGAGGATCCTTGGTGAGCAAGATGCAGGCAGCAGGGCTCAGAGATGCTGTGGATCATCTGCCTTTGCTCCAGCTGATGGGTGGCACGGACTGGACTCCAGAGGACACAGCAGCATGGCAGAGCTAGCAGCAACAGACTAGCAGCTTAGCCCCTCATCCTCCATCTTGTGTCTCCACCGCAGAGAATACAGGGACAGTCTAGACCTGCTCAGGACAAGAAAGTGGCGGTGGCTACGGGGTCCATAGGAGTCCCAGTGGAGTGGGGGGCTCAGGTGGCCTAGCAGTTTGTAGCAGGAGGAGCAGGAGCAAGGCAGTGGACCTGTGTGTGTGTGGGGGGGGGTTGCCTTGTGTCTTGCAGCTGCCGCTGAAGCAGTCACATGGTAAAGCAGCCATTTTAGTGGATTCCCTTCCTGTCTGGGAGGACCTGGAATTGAAGGTGCTGGCACCCAGATTGAGGACATTGGTATGGACCAGGAGCTTTTACATGGTTTGGAAGTTGGAGCGGGGGCTGAGTATGGGGGAGCCCTCTTGCTCCCCTCATGTGAGAGATGGGGGTGGCTGGGGGTGCTGCTGCTACCCAGATATACTTCTCTGGTGATGCTGTTGCGGGGCTGTCCAAGGGCCTGGAGCCCATTAGGGTCTAGATGGAGGATGAATGAAATGTCTGCAAGGAAACAATGCAGCTTGGAGAGCACCAAGGACTCCACATATTTACACTTTTTACATTTTTGCTTTTTGCTGCTATTCTAATGTTATTCTGATATTTCTCTTGCTTAAACTCTATACCTTAAAAAGGGGCCAGCTGGCTGCAGGCAAATTTCATAATTAAACAAGCATATAAATAGGTCTATAAATATTCCAAAGAAACACAAGGGCATGTCCATTTGTCAGTTTTTTAGTTTGCCAACTACAGTGTTGTTTGCTGCACAATGTTTTTATTTTTTTATTTAACAGTTATATACTCCATAATCCCAGTGCAGGCAGCATAAAAAGGTTTTCAACAAATACTCAGTCCATAAGAATCAAGTTCAGAAGTAAAATACATGAAATCACCATAAACTATTTAGCATAACAAAGAAATCAGCACATTGTCTTAAAACAACATAAAAAGCCACCCAGAGTTGCCCATTGGGGGGTGATGGGCGGGGGACACATCAAACAAACAAACAAATAAATAAATATATAGCATGGTACTAGCATTAGACTATCAGGCAAATTCAACCATAAATTATGATCCTATACTGAAATGAGTATGTTCAAAATGACTGTTCTTGGTCAACTTAACCAGCTGCCAAAAAATGGTGAAATATTTGGCAGCCCTCCAAAGAAAAGGTCAGATGCACCAAGTCCAAGAGGGACAGAGTTTTCAGGGTTTCCGTGGACCTTTAGCAATGGCTTTGAACTGTCTCATTAGATCTTTCAAGGCTTCCTGAACTTGTTTGTTTCTCAAGCTGTAAATGAAAGGATTGAGTAGAGGGGAAACAATTGTGTTCAGAATAGCCACCATTTTGGCAAACTTCAGTTTTCTATCCTGGGCTGGGCTGATATAAAGGAAGATGCAGCTCCCATAGCTGATGGAGACAACAATGAAGTGAGAGGCACAAGTGGAAAATGCTTTCTTTCTTCCTGTAGTGGATGGGATTCTCAGGATAGTTTTAATAATGTTGATATAGAACACCACTGAAATGGTCAAAGTCCCCAGCAATGAAACTGAAGCAAGGATAAGCCCCAAAAGTTCATGACGTCTGGTGTCCCCACACACAAGGTGGTTCAGAGGAGTGTTGTCACAAAAGAAATGGTCCAGGATATTTGAGTCACACATTGGAAACTGTAGGAAGACCATAGATGGACCAATGATGAGGAAAAAGCTTGCAATCCAGCAACAAAATGTAAGGGATGTGCACAAACTCTTGCTCATGATGGATGGGTAGCGTAGGGGGTTACAGATGGCTAGGTATCGATCATAGGACATGACAGTTAAGAGGAAAAACTCTGTAGTGCCCAGATAGAAGTACAAGAAAGATTGTATCATGCAACCAACATAGGAAATATTTTTATTGCCCATCAGTAAATGTGACAGGGTTTGAGGGATGACAACGGTGGAGAAACCAATTTCCAAGATGGAGAAATTCCAGAGGAAGAAATACATTGGGGTGTGGAGCCGGTGGTCTATATTAGCCAGAATGATAATCACAGCATTTCCCGTAATTGTCAGAAAGTAGGAAAAGAAAAGGATTGCAAAGAGCAGGAGCTGCAGTTTACGAGTGTCTGTGAAGCCAAGAAGTATGAACTCACTGATTCTTGTTTCATTACTTTTCATGGTGACTATAAAACTGGGATCAGGAAATTGATAGAAAATTATTTCTGTTAATATTAATGCTCAGATGAATAACTGTACATCTGCTTTGAAAATGCTACTCTGACTAGAATTTGGATGTGACGCAATTCCTTTAAATTAATGTCCTGAAAATGACTCCCACATCTCTGGTTCCACAAGATAGTTTTCCCTTCTGAGGGGTTAAAAATATGTACATGGCATAGAAATAGAAAAAGGAGAAAGTAAACCACTTGATGATCCCAGAGATCATGAAGACAGATAATTGTTTTTTCTCTGTTGTGATGAGAGTCAGTATATGGGCACCATGAACAATCATGGTTTATCATCATGGGCAGCAGGGTAGGGCATGGTGTCTTGTTGGTAGAAGGGATTGCCAACCTTGCAAGGTAGCCCACACAAGAAGCACCCCCAGAAGTAGTACCTCTAATCCTATTGTAAGGTTTCATTAACAGAATCTTGCAAGTCTGAAAGTGCATCTCTCCCCCCTTGGCCTTTACACTCCAAGAAACGATTGAGGGTCCCTTCTGAGATGTTTGCCACACCCATATTACTTCTGTAGGCCCAGCTGCCACTTCTCTGACTGTTGTCTCATCTGCAGCTCTTCCTCCTGTCACCCTAGGTCATTCTCACATAGCATTATAGGAATTGAGGACTGTTTGGGCACCCCCAGTAAGGTCATCCCAGAGCATTATCAGATGCTACATTCTGGCTGTAAAGGTCACAGGTTGATAGGCAATGCTTTCTTTCTCGTTCCTGTGTAACATAGTTTCACTGGGGCTCTGTTGGTGAGACTTGGTTGCATCTGTCACCAAACACTTTGTTTCCATAATGAAGTGGGCATTTTCCCCATGACACCTTATATATGCACTTACGTGGGAGGGAACCACTGCTTTTCAAAACATGGGAGGAATTAAGAGGTACATTACGGGTTTGCTCAATCACTGAAGATTTTCCCATTATACTTAACAATTTGTGACATTCTATCTGCTCTTTTTCCCCAAATGCTGTAGAGTTTTAAACATTCCTGGCTTCAAACACAGCTTGACAAAATCCAGAAGCAAAATGCAAATGTAATATTTCCCATTGATGTTCTATATTGTGCAGGTGAATAATTTCGCCCCCAGTGAAACCAAGTT